ATAAAAAGGAAAATTTAAAAAGCTACAAGTGTGTTTTCCATCATTGCCGGGAATACCCGCTACATTGGTACTCCTACTTCATAAAATATAATCCAATTAAAACACACAATGAATGAATTCCTACTGATATAATGATGTGTACAACGTGTGCAGTCAAATAATGATAACGGTAAAACTAGTATAGGTAGAGTGACGCAAGTTCAATGACAGGCGCTGGTCTAGAAATTTTCAAAAAAAGTGTACATGTATAACATTTATATTATTATCACAAACGATTTTTTCTATATAACTTTGTGTAATCTATTCCAAAGGAAAACAGGCAAACTTTGGGTGGGGGTTGGGTTTGCCAAAATTGATTGGGTGTGGGTTTGGAAAGGGTTTTTCCCTACGCAAATACATTGTGTTTGATGAAATATCAGAACAAAGCTTCGCTTTATCAACACTTTCATATTACTGTTAAATACATGTTATCTACATAAACGTATATATAAATTGTCTGTTAATATTTGTTTGTTTGTATGTTGTTTAACGTCCCTCTCGAGAATTTTTCACTCATATGGAGACGCCACCACTTGCCGGTGGAGAGCTGCAAATTTTGTCCTATACTCGGAACATAGGTCCATTGAGCAGTGAGGGATCTTTTTCGTGCCAGCACCTACTGCGACACGGGACCTCGGTTTATACAGTTTCATCCGAAGGACCGGTCTCCACGTCCCACAGTGGGATTCGAACCCTCGACGTAAGGATCAACTCCTTACTCCGCGACTCTAGAGCAGACGCTCTAACCACTGCGCCACGCGGGCGTGTCTGTTAATAAAACGAAAAATCAATGTTGTGTCCGGGGTGTATGCAACCTGTTGGACCCGATGTATATCCATTAAATTGAAAAATAGGACAAAAACATACCTCAACCGCCTTCGAAAGCATACACCCCGTGCACAACATAGTATACACCCCCGCATATTGAGACCACACACACACACACACACACACACACACTCACACACACATATATATGTGCTACTGCAAAGGAATTTCCGAGATATACGTTAAACTTTTAAGCCGTTCGTTGCTCGAGTACGACTAAGTCAACCATTTTTTATCACAACTCATCTACTTATTGACGTCATTTTCACATTGTGACGTCACAAACATAGAGCAAACATAGCGTAACGTGACCATCAAAAAATATTTACATTTGCTATGATTTTCTACTAAGCCAACTGTGAAATTGATTTGAAAGTCATTTTTGTGTATATATACACGGTGAAACTCGCGTTAAAGTGACGTCACAATGAGACTACAGAGACGTGAATAAAAATTTAACGATATAGGGCAGCAAGAAATTCAAATATTGAGTATATTATTGGTGCTTTTAAACTTGTAAAATGTAAATATAAGGAATGTTTTTCAGTTTAGTGTGAATTATTGGTGTGTAAATCACAGAGACCTCCACGTAGGCATATTTTTCATGAAGCGCTAGCGCGCTTCATGAAATATGCCTACGTGACAAGTCTGTGTGATTTACACACCAATAACTCGCACAAAACTTAAAAACATTCCTTAAATCTAAAACAGCTTTTTTTTTATTTTGATGACGTCACTTTCGGTCCGGAGTTTTCCGCGAATTAGTGATTTTTTCAGGGTCAGATTGTCCTTAAGTTTTCTAATAAACCACTTTTCACAAAAACCTGAAACATTCAGTGAAGAAAGAGCAACATATATAGATCTGTAGTACGCTGTTCACTTGCACCGAAAGTACCAAACGTCGACGCTCGCTATGGCCCGAAAAAATACATATTGATAATTTCAGAATTTTTATCACTTTTCCTAAGATATCTCTTTACCTGTAAATATTTCGTTAAAGCATATAGAACAAAAGTAATGCAGAAACAAGATCTTTCAAATGATATCACAGAAATGGGCTGGCACCTAACATAAGAGGATTAGAGGGGCCAATTTTTTTTCTCGATATCTCAAAAAGTATTTGGAATTTTAATACATCAAAGACGTTCAAAATCACAAATAGCGGCTAGTGAGATTGTCAAAGTACGTAGAATGACGTCATTTCCGGCCAAACAGGAAGTTGTCAAAATTGCTTTTTTTCCACAAATATTTGCATGGAATTGAATCATTAATGTCACAGAGTTCATATTGTTTTTCATATCGAGTATCGTCTTCACCCAAAACTCCCCACCTTACTTTCTGTCAATTGGTGTCACTTCCGCTAAAGCCTTTGAATATTTCTTTTGCACATATCTCAGAAAAGAAAAAAACTAGATGAAATCCCGCGGGGAATTGAATTTATGCCACTATCGACAGAAACATTCCAATAACATATATTGTAGTTTCTGCTGACTGCCTACAGGCTTATAGCAGGAAGGAATACTTTGTTCAAAATCCCGCATTTTGCTTTGGAGCAGAAGTAGATGTACATCATTACCCCCCTTTTGTAAAAACTTGAAAAATAACAATTTCATTAATATTGACGTTTATTGTGAAACCTGTTATACTATGTTATGGATGAAATATATGGAGATAACGAACAGTATTCAAGCTCAAAAGTCCATTATACAATACAAAATAGGAGCAGAGCAAACACGGACCTCCAAACATCAGAGGTGGGATCAGGTGCCATGGAGGAGTGAGCATTCCCTGCCGACCGGTCACACCCGCCGTGTGCTCCTTGTCATGATCGGGAAATAATGGGAAAATCCGTCGACAATTCAGTGTGTAAATAATGGCCTAACAATTAGTATTAGTCAGTCAGCATTTGACTCAATGATAAATTGTATTTGCTGACAAGGTCATTGTATCGACCATAGAACTTACGAAATGATGACTTTAAACGAGACAGCTGATATTCTTGTTTCATCAACTTATTTGTCAATAATTTACCTCGTTTTAAAAATTGTACATACGTAGAGCATGCTCTTGCGTATCGAATTAACTGAGAGATATATACCCCGTATGCAGGTGATGATATTGTACTTCAGATGCTCTTATTTCATTTCCGTCAAGGATAAAAGCAGCGATTATGCACATTTTAATGATAAATTGATTTTTTTCTTTTCTTGTTTTTGGTTAACATTAGGTTTTAATGTTCTCTGAATAGGCCGAATATTTGATACGAAAGACTTTATTCAGAAAGAAAAAATCAAATGTATTGATTAAAGCACAAAATTTTAACAGCTTTAATTGCATTTGAACAATACCTTATTCATTAATTTTTCTTAATTAGCTTTTCATGTAAGTGAATTTATTACGAAGTACAAATTGTACTTCGGGTTCGTTGCCACTATATTCTCAGCGAGGAATTTACAAATTTTACCGAAAACCTACTAATAGTCTTTCGATATATAAATATATTCACAACTTATAGTGTTATCAATGATTTGCCATTATTTCAATGACCATTCACACTTTTTTATGTTCATGCAGATATAATCGCCTCGTTTTTCTGTTTAACATCGGGCTCAATGCTATATGATGTTCTAGAAGTTTCTGTCAATATTAAGATCAGTGAATGACGAAGATAATTTGCACATTTCCCTTTTTGATCGGTTATCACAACTTACTTCTTTTATATCATTTAAGGAGGCTGGGGGGTCAACAAATTAACCTTCAGATATAACTTAATTTTTTAGATATGATATCTTAAGCTGTCAACTATCATTTGGCAAATTAAAATTTGATCATTTTTGTATATCTTTATATGGAGCTCTTCATCTAAAGGAGATCATTATAGTCTGAAAATGGCCACAACCACCCAGCCCTCTTAAATAAGATTTGATTGAATAATTCAGTGATGACGTTTTATGAAATCAATAAACGATTGCTTGTTGTCAGTTTCATTAAAAATTGTCACTAACTTAGATCCGCCAACCGGAACCGCCACCGTACTCACGTTTTTGCTATTTCATGGCTGTTTATAGAAAATGAAAAAAAAAACACTTTTAATTCAATGTACGATACTAACTATGCGAGTGAAATCTGAATATAGTTTACGGACGTCATCTTGTATCTAGTGTATCCATAGAGGAGTTAATAAGAACCCCAGATGGATTTATATTGGAACTGTATTTTCTTCTTTAACACCTATTTGGACATGAGGGGACTGGCAAATTATTTCGTTGCTTTTCATTTTTATCATTTCCCCATTCGTCCTTCCACAAAAAATATAAGTAAGGCTGAAAAAAAATATAATTCTTTTTTTCTCTAAAAATTGCTCGTAAATAATATTTTTATTTCATGGTTATGACATGGCAGGGGTATACTGTAATTTTTTTTTTTTTTTTTTTTTTGAAAATTTGGCTTTGAAGCGAAATAACTTGCCACACTTATAGCGCCCTCTTTCTTCTCAATGAGCATTAGTATACAGAGGATACTCAATGTTTTGAAGTTTGATCTGGAATTAATTTCACGAATAAGACAGAATTTCTTGATATATTCACGAGTGCGAGTGTCTCACGAGTGGAATAAATTCCATATCGAACTACAAATCATTGAATTTTCTGTTTATTTCATTTTCTTTGATTTCCCATTTGTCTCTGTCTTTTTGTAACACATTGGCATAGGCTGTGAGTTTGAAGTAATAGTTAAGCGGTTGAAACGTCATAGATCGAATACATTGAAACAAATTTTAAGAACAATTTGGGAAAACTTTGGCAGTTTTAGTTTCTATCAGGATGGTTTATTTACTCTATCTTATGGCAGGCCAGGGAGTTTTTTGCAACATTCTTTATGAAAGGGAACGCATTTCTAATCAATATTTTTTTTTATTACGCCTAAAACTCCATACCCAGTGGTTGCGCTAAATTTTGAATACGCCAATTTATGTACACGTACAGTATCACTTTGATATCCTTTCACACAATGACAGAATATCATTTTCAATGTTGAAAAAAAAATTAATGTTTACAGATGCATATTGTAAGAATAACAGAGTTAGAGCGGGACAAAGTTATGAATACACTATAGAAGGAAATCGAAATACTAACCCTCACAACCAACGTGGTAATTTTTCAAATTGCTACAATGATTAGCTTCAGTCGTGATGCACCTATATCCAGCTCCACAGTCACGTTGATCACATAGCCTGTTTTTCATCCAACCACACTGTGTGAAAATAATTTTAATGTTTAATACGATAAATGTATAATTTAAAATTAAAAGCAAGAAAACAGAGTTCACATAAAAAAAAATTGTTGCAACTTTCCGTTAAAAAGTCCAAAAGATGCACACATGTGGATGTGATATATCGTATCTAAATTTTGATAAATAATATTGCATATTAATTGTTGAGCTCTATTCTCCATGATCAATTAGGTAAAATAGTATAAAGTCACGTTACATATGTATTTTTATGCCCTTTTTTGAATACAAAACGATAAATAGATTTTTAATATTACCACATCGTTTCCCATCTTGTAATAAGCTAGATATTCCCTCACTTCCTCGTGATCACAACCTGCTGACTCGCTGCATTCTTCGTTGATATTTAGGTCAGACAGATCCTCTCTCTTGACTCTCGTTGGATGTTTTTCTAGAAATGTCGATGCCTTTTCTTTGGAGGTAAACAGTTTTCTTTTGGCTACAATATATTTTTATATACCATTTTGGAATAAAGGATGACTGCACTTAACGCCTGTTTTTGGGTCTTTTTCGGTTGCTTCTGTTGCTTTTATATCTTAACCTTGTCTCACTTTTGTATGTTTATGAATGAATACTGTCAATTTGGAACCACATTTAAATCATAAAATGATTTTAGACTGTGATACAATAAAATGATTTTATGTTTTTTGTCCTTACTGCTTTCCAAATATAGTGAATTTACACTTACCTGCCCTTGATTGAACATTAGATATACATGAGAGGTGGAGCTAACATTGTAAGAATGGGTCTAAAATTAGACTTGATAAATAACAATGACATGTTTGGAAAAGCGAACGTGATCACTCTTTCCAATCTCCCTCTACATTCTGGATGGCACAAATATACTACTGACAAAGGTTTCAAAACGAAATTAACAATATGAGCACGTCAATGTAATTAAAGCAGATTTTATATCAATGCCAGATGACTTAACGTGTTCGAACACAGTGTCCTAGTTAGCACAAAACATGCTACCTTACAAGTCACGTGATGGAATTTAGTATTCACAAAGTTACCTGAGGTAAGAAATCACGTGGTGAATTATAATATTCCGCATGTCAAAATCCTTGGTTACAACACAGAGAGCGAATGTAAGAAGAAGCAGTTTGTTCTCTTTTTAACCATGAGCGCATGTTTGTCTATTAATCTCCTTTTGACACATTATCATTTATGCAAATATACAACTACTGTTAAACGTAGAACAATAGACAAACATGCGCTGATTATGTATAAAGTCAGCAAAAAAGTGGGCGTCCTCATTATCGAACGGAGATTCAAGAAATTGTGATGACCCCTGCCTTTGAAAACAGATTCGAACTTCGTAAATACACACTTTTATTAAACGTAATTACATAAAGTTGTAAATTGGATGTTGACCATTCTTGCAATGAAAAGAAAAATGCTTGTTTTGAAAGTTTATTTTGTCGCAAATTCCGCATGTCCTTAAGTGCAGTAATCCTTTTCCTATTATTTCACGAACGTAATAAGTTTCACTATGTATCCTGAGAAAATGTTGAATCACACCGGAACCAGTTGCATGTATGTAACATTTTTTTTAGGCCATTATTGCCCCCCCCCCCCGCTTTTGCCAAAGGAGGGGACATTAAATCTCATTCGTCTGTCAGTCTGTCACAAAAACTTTAACCTTGGTCATAACTTTTGAATGAGAAGAGACAGGACTTTCATATTTCAAAGATGCATTACCTGTGACAAGACCTTTTCAAATATACTATGATTTTTGACCCTGTGACCTTGAAGTTTGGCCTACTTTTCAAAAATGTTAACATTACTTTAAGTTGGCCATAACTTTTGAAAGAGAAGAGATAGGGCTTTCATATTACACATGTGTATTACCTGTGAAAAGACCTTTCTAAATGCATTATGATTTTTGACGCCGTGACCTTGAAGTTTGACCTACTTTTCAAAAATATTAACAATACTTTAAGTTGGCCATAACTTTTGAAAGAGAAGAGATAGGGCTTTCATATTACCCATGTGTATTTCCTGTGACAAGACCTTTCTAAATAAACTATGATTTTTGACGCCATGACCTTAATCTTGAAGTTTGATCTACTATTCAAAAATGTTATCTTTCCTTATAACTTTTGATAGAGAAAAGATAGGGTTTTCATATTTGACATGTGCATTGCCTGTAACAAATTGTTTCCGAGCATGCTTACTCCTCCATGGCACCTGATCTAAATTTTGAGGTCCGTGTTTGGTCCGCTCCAAATTTGTATCGTTTCATTGGACTTTCGAGATTGAATACTGTTCGTTTTCTTCATATTTCATTTGTTTTCCTATTATATTACAAATGTAATTATAAAGAATGCTGAATCATACCGGAAACAGTTATGACACAAGACGAAAACATACAGTTATAATACAGTTATAAGTGCTTCGACATCGGGTGACATAACACTCCTGGGCTTTCCTTCACCTTTGGGCAAATATTCTGGTATGCCAACCTCGAAGTCATGTGATTTAGGTATAATGCAAAATTTCAAGTTAGATTTAAATAAACTCTCTCTCACACACACACGCCCCCTCTCTCTCTCTCAAACACACACACACACACACACTCACACAAACACATGCAGAGGGCAAGAATTAGAAGTACATGTACATCAAAATCAAAAGGGGTGCAAATATTATCATGAATACTAATTTACCTACACATAATTTTTTTTTATATCAAACCACTTACATTTTTGACAACAAGTCCCTCTTTTTCCATTTTTACAAACGCATTCGCCATTAAGAAGAACTCCTTCGTTCAGACATTTTCCGGTGCATTGTTTATGTTGCTTTGTCACAAGTTTTCCGCATCTGGACTCTTTCTCTACATCTGTCCACTCTGGTTTGCCGCATATTTCGCGCTATCTTATTTGTGATCCCATACCACATGTCTGACTACAAGCACCCCAGGGTGACCAAGGCAGCGGAGTGCAGATTGGTTTATCATTGCAGACAACAGACAATGCTGCTGTAGAGCTACACGCCCATACGACAAGAACCAGCCACATCGTTGGCCATTTAATGACAAACTGATCTTATCAGGTGAAATAGATTTTATATACCCTTGCAATGCCAAGATTAAACTGATAACGTTGCTTTACTTTTTAAAGTAACATTCACCTGTAATGAACAATAAGGTTTATTTTTCAAATTTACCTTGAAAATGTTATGCAATCGCATTAGTTTAAGTACCGTATATTAGATTATTAAAATTATATTGATCTAATATCAATATATATTAATTCTAGATAGAATAGTTATGTAATTAGATACTTATTTGGAAAAAAAAAAGTATTATAAGATTCACTTCAAAAGTCGAGTATATCTCAAGGCTGCAAAAACAGATAAACTTGATGTTTTACCTTGAAAGTATTTGAGGCAAACATGAACACAAATGATACTATTTAAGGTCAGACAACATGTTCCTCAATAATGTATAATTTTCTCCCCAAGAATTTGCCATTAAACTATTGCTTCTTTAACATGTTTCCTCCCAAAAAGATTATGGTACTTTACCAGGCATTTGTCCGAGAAGGTCTTTCCTTCCTGCATTGCAAGTATCAAAATTTTTTGGTTTCTTTATATATTTAAACATTTTGGAAACAGTTTAAAAATCATAAGATAATGATAATTGTGATAAATTTGTCGTATATTACGAAGAGATACAAAACAGATATTCGAGCAACGTGTTGACAGAAATTCTGAAAAGTAAAATTGTTCTAGCAATTATATAATTTCTTAAATATTAGAGATTCCAAAGAAGTATATTTAATAAAAAAAAAAAAAAAGGTGAAAACAACGAACAGATCGATCTTAATATTCCTTCAAAAAACCTTTTTACTTTTATTAGGCAATATAGCTTAATCAATAGCGATAAGGTTTACAGGTGATGTCATTGTTAGTAGGAGGGCAAACCATTCGCTCCGCCCCCAACCGTTGAAATTGTAAAGACAAGAAACGTGTTGAAAATATCTTTCATTTCCTTTAACAAAAGTGAAAAGCTATGTTTTCGTTTCTTTTCATTATTTTCCTTTGTATTGATATTTTTCATTGCAATTCATTTAACCACGAAGTACAATACGAACATGAGAATGGAGAATTACTTATACTGAACAGCCGTGGTCGATTTGCAGAAATAATCGACGTAGACGAAACAGAATCTATCAAGGTAAGATTAAAGAAAGTATCAAAATTATATATTTTATTTTCCTCCCTATTTATTTACAGTGTGATCAGTTCATAACTTCATGTAAACATACGAGTTTTCGTGTTTAAAGACAGTAACAAGTAAATGAGAGACAAGAAAGTGTACGCTAGTACCAAAACCTGTATAAAAATTCCATTTAGATTTAACAATGCAGTATCCCTTATCATTGAAATAACCCCCACATATGTAATATGATTTCTACATAACTTATATTTTTTACAACAGAGAATTCTTTGTCGGCATGGATTGATAATGATTGCTTTCAAAGAAAATGACAACAAACCCGACTGGAAAGAAGGTCAGATTCTACTAGGAGGCAGAAAATGGAACTGTACATTGGGAAAGGAAAGACCAGCTGAAAATGGAATTTATGCAAAAGTTAAGAAGTTATTCCATCCCACAAACACGCGTATAGACATTTTAACTGAAACTGTGAGGTGAGAGATAAACAAATTAGTTCTTTTTGAAATAGATAGTAAAGGCTCAGATATTTCTTGACTGGCCCATACACTTTGATTTTTTCTTGTATGCTTATTTTATAGTCCACTGGACATACTTGAAGAGGCAAACATACATCTTCAATACACTACGCATGTGGATAACAAAAAACGCCAGAAGAGATACCTTTCTAATATGTTAACAGACCTACTTAACAATGTGGACTGGCACGCAAATGTTTCTTTGAAAGTCCACTACAATCTAGACAAGGAGACTGACAGGGAAAAGTCAAATATCACTCTGCACAGATACACAGGACTGAAGAATTTGATAAAATGGGACATGGAAGAAAATAGCAGTTATTCGAACCTAACAGACACTCTAGATAAAACCTTTACTTGGGACTGCCTATCTTGTTACAGCGTTACCCAAATTAATTATGTTTTGTAAGTACACCATGCACATTTAGATATTTATTATTCTCTTTCCTTCAACAAAGAAATCTTTAGAGTTAACAAAGAATCTCATTTTGTATTTTTAGTGACCTGCTCATATACAAAATCGACAACAAACCAGTGCTTAAGCATTATGTCTCCCAGGTAGTATATTTATACTGTTGTGCCAGATATGATGTGATGAATAGAATGTTTCAACGAATGTTGTCGTGAAATTAAAATTTTTAAAAAATCTGTTTTTAGTTAGACTCGGCAGTAAAATTTAACGCAGACTTCAGAATGAGATTTTATAAAGAGGCTACCATAAGCAGTTCTCGTGTGTTATGGAATACACCCAAACAGGAACTGATTAATATCACTTTGGCAAAGGCGCCAAAATTACCACCAGTTCAACTGGTAGTCACCTCTAACAATGTTGTCTTCGCCAAAATCCATGGTGCCGTATCTCAATATTCCGTTGTGAACACGAGTTTTCAAGCACACGGTCAATATGCACTGTGTAAGTAGCGATTTTTTCCCTCAAAAATATAGATTTTATTTCAATATTTTATGGAAACATGCTTAAGTATCAAATAACTCTTTTATTTATTATGCTTATACATCTTCTATCCAAAACAACAATTTGCCTCAGTCTGCTTTAAATTATAATGTTTCCACACATATGAGTAAATCAAAATAGATACTTAAAGTTTGTTTAATAATAAGTATGTTCTATTTTTATTTTTTTATGCCCCCATAATATTGGAGATTGGGTGGAGTATGAATTTTGTCTCTCTGTCTGTCTGTCCGCAAACTTTTATCATTGAATGGTTGGTTGGTACTAGAGCTTTCATATTGTACATGTGTATGTCGTGTGACCTTTGAATACCAACTTTTGTGAGTTTTTGATCTTGACCTTAGAGTTTGACCTTTTTTGTCTTACTTTTATAAAACTTTATTTTCAGTTTTGAATGCTTTGTCGTAGGGCTTTCAAATTTCACATGTGTAAAACATATAGACCTCTTGAGGTACTAACTTTTCTGATCCCATGATTTTGACCTTCAGCTTTTTACCTACTTTTGAAAAACTAAAACTAAAAAAAAATATAGAATTTTACAAAATTTCACAAACTTGAAAAAATCAGACCTTATTAAATGCATCAAATTACGTAATGCTATTAATTATCATTGTTATAATTGAAGGCGTAGTGTACATTTTGATAATATTGTACTTGAATCTATGATACAGCTCATAGTCTAGCGGAAGGAAAGCCATCTCATGGTGATGCTACCGCGTATAGCTGGAATGTAGACTCCGGTACTCTAAATGTCGAGACCAATGGGAAGGCAAATATCACAGCTTCAATATTTCAAACAGTACGTGTATCAATTGAATTTTACTGTTGACTTTCAATTACATTCAATTTGTGAATTCAGTATTTAGAGCAAAGTTACCTTTATTGAAATTTATGAAATTATGATAAACAAAAACTTTTTCTGAGGAAAATTTTCTCGGCAAAAACTTATTCTATTATTTAAAAATAATGTGGTATTCCTGGGTTTGAACCCTAGCAATAAATATCCTGCGTATCATTCTCCTTTTAGACAAACGCTCTAACCACTACGCTACACAGCTCATGATAAATAGTGGCATTTAAATTGTTTGTGATATGACTCTTGACTAAATGGACTTCAAGTATTTCTCGGAAAATGCGAATGTTGTGTCATAAAAGTGTATTTTTGAGGTATGGTGGGTCTTTGCTCCATGTTTTTGTTAACCAAAATATCTATATTTTTACGCAAACTTTGAGGATAAACTTTCAAAAAAAATGGAGCGAAGACCCATTCATATCGAAAAATCGTGTTATAGCATGAGAAAATGATCCTTTTTGCCCTCTTAAGTGTGTGTATGTTATTTCATAGGCAAATTATTTCAATCTTGTGAGATTTTTGCAAATTTTGGAGATTTTTCATAAAGTATACTTTAATGTTAGATGAAATATCAAAGAAAATTTTGTTATAATTAAGATTTTATTTTTCACCTTCATGTTTGTCGCACTTTAGGCACTTCGCTCGACTTGTTCGTCCATCTTCTTATTGCATCCCCCTTTATCATAATTGTGTTAACATTAATTTTGTAGGTTGTTTTTAATGCCTCAGTTTTATGGTCAGGGAAAGACGTATCTGCGATTTTATCGCCTCCTGCAATAATAACGTAATTGTTTTCAATAAGATACACTTATATTCATAAGAAGAACTGGAAATTTAAAATTAAATGGGATGAGAAGATACGATTTGATTTTTACTTCCATATAGACACTTTTATCCATCTTTCATTTCAGAATAAAACCAACCGTGAAAATAGATTCAAATTCTTCGACATTTTCCCATTGCTACAGAAGTACAGTTAATGTCGATGGTGAATTTCAAATAGCAAAAGCGATGTTTAACGTTCATGCATTCGGACTTAATATATGGTATATAGTGCAAATATTTTATATTACAAATTTTTAATTCAAAATGTTTCGTTGAATGGGAATTTTAGAAAATACATGTTTTTTCGTGATATTTAATGGTTATTTTAGGGATGTCTTGATAGCAAGCAAGTTTCATCGACAAATTGGTATCTTACAAAAGATAACCGGAGAACGATGTACAGCTAATTGTGCTTCTCCTTTTAATCTTGGTCCGCCAAAGTCAGCTGAGGATGTATGCGGAAAAATGGTTCACAAGATCACAGCTCAGTATTCGTCCTTCAAAAAGTAATATAAATTGTTGTGTCGAAAATTTTGAATTAAGACGTACATAATTATTCTATTATACTTGATGAAAAAAAGAATAAATCCTTTTTTTTTGCACTGGTTTGAAGGGTAAAGTGATATTCATTATGTTGGGCAAGAGCACAATTTTGAGAGATCTTTTCTGGAATGGGAAAATACACATGTATAGTGAAAGTTTGGTTATGAATAATATGTACAAGCGCAAACAAGACAAATGTTTCAATAATGATATAAAATTTCAAGCAATAATGATTTTACGTGAAAATTGTTTTAGGCTAAATCTCCTGGTTGGAGATAGTATTTATTTTGCTCCAGACAACTTTACATTGGACGACTGGTGTGGAGAAACAAAGACAAAATGCATTAACTGTAATGGTGAACATGAAAATGCTTACTGCTCCAAAAGATACGTTTCTTCTAAATTAGCCACATCGCTGGCGACCCTCGTGGAATTTATCCGTGTTGAGTTTCCCACACGTATGTCATCAATTTCAGAAGATACTATGTAGAAACCTGATTACTGCTTGATTATTATTATATTAAAAAAAAAAAAAAAAAAAAAAAAAAAAAAAAAAAAAAAAAAAAAACCCACCTTTTCTTTTTATCTTCCATGTTTGATAATGCTAAAATAGTTGACAAGTTGAAACTTTTTCTGAAAATAAAATATTGTTGTATATATATATATATATATATATATATATATATATATATATATATATATATATATATATATATATATATATATACAACAATATTTTATTTTCAGAAAAAGTTTCAACTGTTTTATATTTTTCGTTTTTTGGTATCTAATTAGATGATTTTTAATGCCAGGAAAGTTGATCGTAGAAGAAAGTTTTCAGGAGGTAAGCTCAAGGTATCCATTGGGTAAATATGGTGAAAGTTCCCTATTCTACGAAGGAAGAGCCGCTGTGCTTTCTATTTCACAACCAATCAAACCTGATGTTGTTAAAGAGTCCGATGTAAACATTCTCCAAAAGGTGTCCCAACAAGCTGTTTGTTCCGGCTTTGAATACGTCAACTTTTTAAATAGTACGGGGAAAGTAGAAGTGGCCGTTACTCATGACGATAGTCCTCGAAACTTAAATCAGGAAGAGGAAAAAGAATCATTCGATGAAAGCATTGGTGTAAAAGGTTTGATCTTTTATTTGGAAAAATATAATAACTGGAGTCGAGAAAGTTAATAACAATATTAAATATAGGGAGTTTAATGTTTTCAGCATTACAAATAAACCCACAGTCTTGCGCAACAAATCGTCCATCGACTCTTGGCATTGGGCAAACTTACCCCTCACAGACATCGGAAAGAAGAGTTTGTGGCGATCCATTTTCCAGGGTTTCCAGATTTTATAATACAAATTATGATAGGTATGTATTGTAAATTATGTTTAGAATGTGTAATAATCAGTTATTTGAATGACTCTCTTCAGATGTTTGCTTTAGTACATATACAAATATCGCACTTTGTATCATAGAAATATTTCATTATGCAGACTTTATCAGTACACATTTGACGATATTAAATTTGACCCTGAGGATCCAACCTCAATGTGGTGTGGAAGCCCACTTAGACCTTGTTCAAACTGCAGTTCAATATCAACAAAGGACTCGTGGAACATATGCTCTAACAGACTTATGACACCAAGAACTGCTTTACGGCTTCGAAGGCTTGCAGTATTGGTTCGGCATCATTCGTCAAGTATACAATAAATATATGCTCTTAAAGGGAAAAAAATCATCATGATTTGTTGGCACAAGAAAGAGATTAATTTCAAATTAACTTTATATTTTACAGACATCAGAGTTCTTAAAGCTTTTGAAGAGGAAAATGAGAAAAACAGAGATTCCATGGTAAAATCCTCCTTATTCAGAGAGGGGAGGTAAGAAATCACATATTTAAAATCTTCAGCTTGCATAATTTTCAAGAAGAAAATTGATTCAATTAAGAATTAAATTGCATTAATAAAGTGTACTTTCCTTGCAGGGCTTTAATGATAACATTGGAAGAACCATCTTTTATAACATATTCCAAATTAGCTGGTTTAGCAATATGCGCTGGTTTTGATTTCGTTTCCCATATGAATGATACTTTTTTGGAGCTTTTTGTGAAACCTCAAGAACAATTTATTTCTCATATTATAATGTATCCGAGCGGTTTAACCTTGACTGGTGTCAGCAATCGGAATACAGATTTTGAACGGGAATATCTTCTGCCCTCTCTTTTCGTTAATGAAACAAGAATACCCCTTTTAATTGATGGTCAGAATGAAAATACACAACTCTCATCGCGATATACAATATCTGATTTTAAGTGCCCCGGTTACAGGTTTATACGAATTGATCCTTCTCTTATAGAATGCTTAGAACTAGCTTCAGATGAATTCGGTGAAAAAATAGAAGTGCTATCAGGGTATAGAACACGATCAGTGAATTTAGAAAATATTGATATGAGGCCCATTAAAGAACGGTTTCGTTTCCATGTTGGGCAAAGTGTAGAAATCGCATCCAAAAAGGGAACTGAGATAGATCTTATAAAAATTGGGATTGCTATAATGAGAATGTGTCCCCCTATTTCAAGACCCCAGCAAAGAGCAATAGGTATAGGGTGCCATAAAGACAGGCTTTATTTAGACTTTCATCCAATGAAATTTGGGAACGAAGAACTCTACATAGATTTGTGGAATAATGGTGGAAAATCAATTTATTTGAATTTGCTGCCACGTGTAAACACTGCATTAAAAGGTCAGTATTCATGCCTTATGCATTTATTTTTTTATTGTAGATTTTTTGTCTTTATATTAAATTATCAGAGTAAATAAAAAATTCTTTAGGAGGTCCTATCATAGTTCCTATGAACAAAAGTAGATCATGTCAAAATCGAGTTGGCCAAGAGCTTTCCTACCTAGTTTTCCAGCTTGGTCAAAAAGAGTAAGTTGATTTAAATTTGTTGTTTTCCTAAAATTCACACAAAATAATGAACATTTATTTTTGTAAAATGACTTTGGAATTACATTATCTGCTTGTAAAACAAATTGTTGATCATTACAGACAATGCAAAAATACTGCAGAAAGAGAATTCTGTTCGAAAACTTTCCGATACAGGAAAGAACAGGCTGATCTACTCCAAGAACGGTTGTCATCTGCAGCAGGGTCTCAAAACTTGCCTAGATCAGAAATAATTTCAGAAATAAATGCATGCATTGTCGACACTTGTGGAGGATGTTTGGATTCTGGTACAAGTATTTGCAGCTGATATTACTCGAAAATTACGAAAAAAAAATATTTCGGAAATTTACTGGACGGCTACATGTATGTTTAATAAAAAATATTATTAAGTAATTACAATCAAAGCATGCATTATATATGTTTCTTTCAAATGTAAAGGTTCTACTTGGGACAAGAAAGTCCAAAGATGTTCTGTCATGGTTAATAAATATATCAAAAGAGCCTCCAGACCATTTCAAAGTCTTCACAACAGAGCAACATTTTTTAATACTGGAAACCACGAATCAACAGTTCATTCATTAGCCTGTCATTTTGGATTTGTATGCGTTGAAAACATACAGATTTATTCCCTTTTGAGTAAGACTTTTGTTTATTTTAGTGATTTTATATTCTGATATGAACACATATGATAATGTGATTTGTATTAAAATACATATGTTTTATCCTTTTCAACGTCTAAAAGTGCCGCTTTTAACTGCTACATTTCGACCCGACCCTTCACGAAGTGTAGAGGAAAGACTTTTTACTCCTGAAGATAATCCATCGCCCCTGTTGGAAATCATCTCACGGGAAATGGCAATAAGGGCCAGCGGGGTTGTTCGGGTATTTCTAGATTCTTCGAAAGATTTGTCCAATCTTCGACATGTCCTAAAGGTTATAAATATTTTTTTCGTGCTCAGGTTTGAAATCAATTTTGGTACGCTTATAAAAATGATCTATGCCTTTTTCCGAAACTTGGGTCATTTATTTAAATATATTTTTCAGGTTCTTTTGGTTCACAACACCAATATTCAAGAGGTACAGTTTCATATAACAGAAAATCTCAAAAAAGAAACTATAAAAGCTGCCCTTCAGAGAAAAATTGAGACCTGGTCCGGTAACACGTGTAATACTTGGTCGAGATTTGCAGTCGCTGCGTACAGCATACAGATTATTCCAAATCATCGCCATAAGAGAAGCGCCTTTAGGAGTGCAGCACGTAACCATGCAAGACATATCTTGCGTAATTGGGAATACGATTGGTTGTCCAAAATATAATGAATCTAACATTCTTTCCATTTAATTCAATGTAGTCATAAAATTATTGTGCTGTAAATTGTGCTGAATAAAAATATTTGATTTAAATGAATCACGTCCTTATACACAATCAGGTTAACATCATTAAGGCTAACTCATGAACTTTTCATCTATTCTAGCCTGGTTCCCTGTCCCTGTTATGCTTCGTATACTCCGCGACACTTGGCAAGGATGAGCCAGGGAACCAGGCTACATATTCGTCTTTCACAGGATGATATGTTTTTATGCATTACTACAATACTCATAACCTAAAAAAATTATTATAGTGAAATATGGAGATAACGAACATTATTCAAGCTCAAAGCCCATTTAAACAATATAACTTTGGGAGAATGGCAAACATGGACCTCCAAAAATATCAGTGGTAGGATCAGGTGAAATGGAGGATTGAGCTATACTTAACTATAGTTAACAACAGTAAATAATTTTATACTGCTATTTACCTAAAAACTTTTACTTTAGAACTTTTTTTGAGATTTATTAATATTAAAAGTTCTTCAATTCAGTGCCATTATGTCAGCCAAAATACGACCGGATGGTAATTATTGAATTTATTAACAAGGTCTGTTGACGATGAAAAAGCTGACGTCAGCTCTGTTTGTCACAATCATATAGTTGTTAGTAGCTCTTATCGTCTAGCTATATACACATATGAATCACGTGAGAGGCTCTGGTTTCTTTTATTTTAAGTTCTTTGTAATATATCGAGTCTTCAAATGAATGAAAATAACCATTACTAATAGATAAAATGTCGTCGACATATCTGAATGTCGAGTTAAAAGCCACAGTAAATGTTCGCTCCTTCTCAATTAGACTATTATAAAAGTCTGATCTGTTTTTAAAATTTCAAAAAAATTTAATATACCTCTATCACATGCATATGGTCTTTATGTCTCCCAACTCATTTGCTACTCAAGAACATGCTATGAGTATGATCAATTTTTAAACCGAGGCAGGTACTCACACATAAGTTGATGTTAAATTGATTCCTAAAACCTCATTTAAAGTCAGCGTTTCGTAAATAAATTCTATACTTGTTATAATAGTAAATTTATTTAATAGCAAATATTGCCTATTTTGGGATAGTGTTTTGGCTGACCTGTTTCATACATGTACCAATTGTTATACATTTGTTTAATTAGGGAATGTTTCATCTACTTGATCATTACATAGGGCACAAGGCGGGCGTGACTGGGCAACAGAGGATTCTTACTCCTCCAAGGCACCTGATCTCACCTCTGGAATTTCCAGTAGTCCATGTTTATGCTCTGTTCACAGATCTGTATTTTTTAAGTTTTGATGAGATCGATAACTGTTCGTTATCTTTACCCTTTTTCATTAAAAACAGGCAAGTATGGGAACAAACCTGTGGTATTTTTAACCTGCGTTAGAATTGTCATTCCATCAGCCTATGCTAAATATGTTTTTGTTTGTTAATTTGTTTAACGTTCTTTTCGAGAACTTTTTACTTATATCGAGACGGCACTACTTGCACTGCCAGTGCTTAACTGGAAATTTAGACCTTCACTCGGTACTCAGGGCCATTGAGCATCAAGGGATCTTTTTCATGCCAGCACCTACTGCGACATGGGACTTCGGTTTATACAGACTCATCCGAAGGACCGGTCTCCTGTCAGTGGGATTTGAATCGGCAACGCAAGATTAACTCATTACTCCGTGGCACTAGAGCAGACGCTGAAAAAATCGCGCCGAGCGGCAACATGAATGTAATTGTATTGCATTAAATGCTTAAAGAAGCATTACATGTATTGGTAATGTAGTGCGTTGCTTTTTCAAATCTAGTGTAATGCTGGTGTTTAATATGGCATTACAATGCACATTTTTATGTATACTAATTTATTTTCAAGTAAAAACGGAATTCAAAATGGACCAACTAATCAAAGTTAAGATAAGAAGATTTCATTTCAATATAAATTAATAATCTTACTTGACGAAATACAATAAAAAAAAAACAAAACAAAAAACAAAACAAAAAAACAAAACAAAACAAAACAAAACAAAACAAAACAAAAAAAAAAAAAAAAAAAAAAAAAAAAAAAAAAAAAAAAAACTTAAATTTTGTGTATTCAGATAAACTTTCACTTTTGAATTTCTGTTTGAATTACAATACTCATTTTTTCAGGTGAAATATGAAGATAACGAACAGTATTCAATCAGGTGAACAGGTAGTATACATTGAAGTTTGTTAAGTTCAATCCCCACCCCTTACATCCCCGATAAGGAGGGTCAATAAAGAGATATCGAAAAATAAAGGGGAAATGTTTAAGGACGCGATTGCACTGCGTTACGTGTTCGACTCATGTGATGTTAAAAAATTTTAAGAAACTTTAACCATTTTCAGAATAAGGAGCGTTATATTTTTGCGTCCATGACAAAAGGTCCTCGTGGCAATATTTCTAGAACAGAGAAAGAATAAGATAAAGATGTGACGTTGCAGAGTGTTGGTGGTCATTATCAATGCAAGCTTTCACAGGAACTTCAGATTAATGATTGTTCTAATCATATGGCCCGGGGGTTAATCTGGGGCCACTATACGGGCGAATGTTTTAAGAGGGCTGGGTGGTTGTGGCCATTTTTAGACTATATTGATCTCCTTTAGAAGGATAGCTCCATATAAAGATATACAAAAATGATTAAATTTTAAAAACTAAAATGTACGAAATTTTCCTTTGCCAAATGATAGTTGACGGCTTAAGATATCATATCTGTAAAATAAAGTTATATCTGACGGTTAATTTGTTGACCCCCCAGCCTCCTTAAAAGGAAATTAATTAGAATATTAGTTTTCAAACATTCTTTTGAAAAAAATAACTGAAAAAAAAAATACATCACATTCATTTGGAAATATTCAAAATTATGTGGATACATTTTTTCCTCAAAATAATAGTCGCGGGAGTTAGAGTAAGGTTAAAATGGGCGAAGGGTTACCATGTTGTATATTTATTTCTTATGCGAATAGCAAAAACCATGTCATATAGAATGTCTTAAATTATTCCAAAGACGTATTGATTCGACTTAGGTTTATCATTTGGGATTAGGTGGGGTAACAATATTGGGTAAAACGTTTTCATGTGAATGAAGATGAAGATTTTTTTTAATCCTGTGATGAGAAACAGGAGAGCTAAAGGGACTCAGATCTGATCCAAACTCTGAAGTTTTTTGAGCTCCATGTTTGCTTTGTTCCCAATTTGTATTGTTTCACTGCACATTTGGGCTTGGTAGCTATTCGTTTTGTCCATTAAAAAGGTGATCGATCTAAAAAATCTATAAAGAATTCAAATCTGCAATAAGGACATAAAACACAGCCCCCAGAAATTCTAGAGATGAGATCAAATATATTTCTTTTCATTTTCTTAAATTAATAAATAATTTATACACGGATTTATTCATAATTAATTTTCATTGTATGAGGAGGAACCGTTAATCTTTGCTTTTGATAATTTTCTAACTTAAATGAAGAAGTCTTTGAATATCTTTCTTTACGACATTGGAAAAAAACCTAGAGAAAATTATGCCTTCCGGAACAGTGATAAGACTGACTCTATGGCCAGTCGTTTTAATTCGTCGAGACATGATCAACTTTTTAATATTGCTAAGCAGTAAATTTTGCCGTTGAAGTGATTGTTTGTTTTGTTTATCTTTGAGATCCTTTAGCCATTATATAACCTAACTACATCAAGAATAAAGAGTCTAATCCATGTCAGTTTAAAGTGCTTATTAAGACGATGAAAATTTGCTTCAATTTGCTTTTCTTGTCGGGAAAAACGGAAAAATCCGTAGATATTCGACTTAATAATAGTAGGTGATTGAAAAAGTGATTATATTTGCTAACAAGTTAATTGTATCGACCATAAATCTTTCAAAATAATGACTTAACAAAACTGTTGATATCTTAGTTTCGATCATTAATAGCTTGCCTAGTTTTAAAAATAGCTCGTACGTAGAACATGGTCTTGCGTTAGGAATTAACCGGAAGACATAAACTACATATACAGATGACAACATTGCTACATAAGTAAGGGAAGTTGACAATAAAAAAAAGTTTAATTTCAATAGAGTTTTGGAAGAATTGATCCTCCAAAACTACATACATATTTTCCATCAGAAACTCAAGCATATTTTCAATATCAGCTTCACTCTTCAGAGTATTTGTGTACAGTCAAAATTATTTTAAGTGTTTAAAATAATTTTGCATATGATCAAATGAAAATTTTACAAGTTTCATTTTTTATTGAAAAAGCAGCTGTCTATGACGTCAAAAAGCCTGGAATTTAGTTCATTGTGGGCAATGGTTTGTAAAAACTGTTGAAAAATCGTACATTTTGATGATAGTGACTTGGAAAAAGATTGTGATTTCAAATTGTCCGAAAATTCTTGGAGTTTTTAGTATACACATTTGATTTACACCACTTCTCGAATATATTGTACAGTTCTCTTGTAGGTTCTCCTACACCTCTGTCAATAATTTTTGAGCAATAAGGAAAGAGTCTTTGTAGAACATTAACAAGTTTAGGTATGGTAATTCAAATTCATTTTATTTGTTAAGAATTTTATAAATATTTCAAACTGACATACGATTTTGAAGAATTTCCTACCTAGAAAGAGGACTATGGGTATATAATGGTGTTACCTTCTTTGTCAGCTGTTAGCAGTACCTACATGTGTAATTTATAAATGCAAAAGGTGAAGATAACGAACAGTATTCTGATTAAAGACTGAAGACAGCAGCATAGATAATTTCTTATTGCTCTTCAATTGTTGAATGCGAGATTTCAACATCCATTTCATACTTTTAATCCATTAGGGCAAAGTGTAAAGATCTTTTTGGTTTTTTGCCTTTTGGCCAGCATTATCTTTCACAGAGTTTATACCTGTAATATTTATAAAATTATGAAATCAGTTGAAAGATTGAGTTCCTTTTTTTTTTTTAAAAAGTGATTTAAAGTTCTCATTATTGATTATATTTACGTCGCAAGTAATGACGTGTCCAACATGAC